AGGAAGGAAGGAAGGAAGGAAGGAAGGAAGGAAGGAAGGAAGGAAGGGCAAAGAAAGGAAAGAAGAACGTGAAGAACAGCAATGACATATACCTTGTGTAGGGCTAGAATGAAGACAGCCCTCTCCCTGGTTGTGTATCACCAGCCACTGGGAAAACATTTTTTTTTTTTTAAAGAGGAGGAGAAAGGAAAAGAAAGACATATCCCATATCTCACCCTCTGGATTATTCTGACTATTGTCAGTGACAAAACTTTTATGCAGCATTAATTGTGTGCGACAGTAATGAAGACCCAGGTCACACTCTCTTCCCAATTTCAAACTTTCTGATGCATTTTCAAAAAGTGCTCCTGGCCATTTGAAAGAATGAGTGTATCGTTTATGCAGAAATTTTCCATAGCCAGTAATCTTCTCTGAAATCAACAAAGATCACAGAGCTTCCTCTGCTACGCCATTATTAGAGTCAGTGCATACAAGAGGCTTGTTTGCATTTGTGTTCTTAAAAGTGAAGCCTTGTGAAACTGTAGCAAGAGGCCAACCAATCCCAAAGAGGAGAGAAGCTTCCCGTCACCCAGCAGTGGCTAGGCCTGACTCTTTCACTCTAGGTAAAACCAACCACTCTAGAAAAGTGTGGTAAATGGAAAGGGGATGTCAAACAAATACAGAATGAGGACCACAGCCCCTACTTACGGTCAAGAGGGGGCCTCACATTGTAGAAGTTGATGTTCTTGGCAAACGCCCAGTTCTCTGAGAGGATCAAGACCTGAAGGATGGTCACAGCTAGAATGTGGCAGAGGAGCAGCATCCTGACCTCCCAGGCTGGGCAGGCCAAACTGGTATATCTGCCATGAAAACACAGACTGGGTCAGCAAATTTGTTCTTTATACATCAATAGGAGTTGTGTTTTGCCTCTGCTTGGAAAGCTTGATTTTTCAACCTGTTGGAAAGGGTCAGTGCCACAAGTATCATTCAGATGAAAGGTAAGTACTTACTGCCTTCTGCTGGCCTGCTGACTTTCCACAGGGCACCTGGCCCTCCCCATCCAGGAACACCAGCCTCTGGCACTGGCCTGGCTCCACCAGGCTCCTCCTGTGTCTGGGGCTTAACTAGTTGATGCTGTGCTGAATCGTGTGGGTTTTTAGTTTGTCTGTTTTTCTAATCAACCTTAGTCTCTGGTTTGTTTACCTGGAGTCACTGAACCACTTATTCTTCAAATCTTCTCCCTGAGTAAACAGAGGTATTCGATCAATTCTGCAACTCCATCATATCCTGGGGCGGGAGTTAAGGCAGAGGAGCCATGGTAAGTAAAATCCATAGTGAGTCTGGGCTAAAATCTCTGCTGATCCTAGAGCTCGAAGAGGCCAGCAGAGAGGAGAAGGAAGCATCACACGAGGTACCAGCTCCACCTGCACCCTTCACACTGGGTGCAAGGACAAACTGCCAGGACACTCCAGAAGAAACAATAAAAATGCTATCAATGATGCTTCTGGAAACAGTGATTCTTCTGGTCCACAAACATTATTGCCTGTTTTCATAATGGACTGAAACTCGAAGGAATGACAGACATGCACTCAGTGATGAGTAAAGGACCTGATTGATATTTGGGGCCCCTGTAAGACCCACAGGTCCCCTACACTTTGAAGCCAGCCTCATGGGCATAGTTAAATGTAGAGTCTCATCACTGACACATTGTCCGTCCGTCCAGGGAGAGGTAAGTATGGGCTGCAGATGACAGCATACAACTTGGAGTCCAAAGGTTCAGGTGCTGGCTATGCTGTTTATTAGCTTCTTGACCTTGGGCGAGCTCTTTAAACTCCATTAACCTCAATTTCCTCATCTGTAAAATGGCTTAATAATACCCACACTACCTACACATTTTGGATAATTGTGAGCATCAAATACAGGCTCAGATAGAATCACATAGCTTTGTGTGAATAAACACACATAATAAGAGTCCTGTGGAAATGCTAGAGTTCAGGCTCATTTTCTTCTTGCTGAATCAACCAGTCTTAGTGGCTTAGGGAAATTTTCAAAGAAATAAATGGTTTGATGTCCACATATACATGTGTGGTTCCTCACAGTAACTTTTATTTGAAGTCAGGGGACTAGTGTGTGGGTCCCGGAATCTCCTGTGGTTTTTGTACATAAGTAACATATAAGGAAGGGCACTGAACTGAATATCAGAGAAAATGGAGTGGCAACATCCTCCCTTCCTTACAGAGGACCTTTATGAAGGCAAAACCAAGTTTCTTAGGATGTAATCAGTGAAAGAGAGAATACCGGTATGGAATTTCTAAGACTATAATAGGGCTAAACATAGACCCAGAATTATTAAATCTGTGTTTCTAGTTCATTTTAGTAACCAATATAGAAATTTTAGAAGTCATGCTTCCACATTTCATTCTTACGGTCTTTCTGAAGAAACAGCCAGGCAACTACATTATCAAACCTGTAGATATACTGAAGAACAATTCTGCGTTTCCTATGCACACACTGAATTGGTCCTTCCCAAAGCTACAATGAATCTGTAGCCAAAGGCTGGGACCCAGCATCCCAAGAGAGACTCTTTATGATGGGGAGGTGACTTCTTTCCCTCTCAAACCTCAGAAAGAAGATGCTCTAACAGCAATCCACATTGTTTGTGTAATACAAACAAGACTCCTAACATCATGGATGTCAGATTCATATCACACTTAGATACTCCTTTCATCCATCGCTAAGCAGCTGTGGCCCCTTAGACAAATTGCTGAAGCGTCCCAAGCCCAAATTCCTTCTCTGTAGAACAGTCCTAACAATAGCAGTTTTGAAGTAAGCTTTCCGTGACCTCATGTTCATTGAGTGCTTTCTATTGGGTGGTAGAGACCATTGGCTCAATGCCCGCTTTTAGATCCAGCTCTTTGTGATGCCTGGTTTAAGCTTACTAACCTCACTATATCACAGTTTTTGTGCCTGTGAGATGGGAGTAGAAATGTTTCCCTGTAGAGCTGTAGGAATAAAACTGGCTAAAGCACACATAACATTTGAACTATTTTAGTAAGTTACGTGCCTGGATTTTGGCTAATTCTAGTAAGCTTATACTGGTCCGAACAAATTCCCAGTTTAAAATTACAAATAAAGGCTCTTTGTTTTCCTAAAGTAACTTTCCTTTGAGATCAAAGCTTATTCATTCCACGTGTCATCAGTGACATCCACTATGGATCATACGCTGTGATTATTGGCTCCCCAGCAATACCCTTTACTCTCATAAAAACTGCATGGCGGAGGGGAGAGTCAGTGCAACGTGGTGGTATATAATTTGGAACAATTATAAGTGCTAAAGGCAAAGCAATCAGGTGATAATCAGTAGGGGGGGTGAGGGGCTGTGTCGCAGATGGCAGTGTGTACACACTGCTCCCAGTAAGTGACATATGAGCAGATGATTTTAATGACCAGAAGAAACAAGCTAAGCCAAAACAATCTATAGAAAACCAACCTAGATCCCATGGAGGGAACTTCAGAAAACAGGTCTGGGCAGATGGCTCAGCGGATAAAAGCACTGGCTACATAGACACGAGTGCCTGCGTTCTGAGCCAAATAGAAAGTCAGGTACACTGCAAATGTACCAGCTATACCCCACGTGCGTGCCTGTAACCCAGGGTCACGTACGTGGAGATAGAAAGATTGACAGGGCTTGCTGGCTGGCGGTCTAGCTCCCGGTCTCTCACTGAACAGCCAATGACGAGAGTGATGAAGTAGGTCACTGGTTCTCTTCTCTGGCTTCTGCAGGCACACACAGGCATGAGCATCCATGCACACGCCGCTCACATATCTGTGACCACAAACATACACACACACTAGAGAGGGCTGCAGGAGGTGTTCTTGGAACATGCAGTGTACTGGTTTTGGAGGATAGACAGGTAGTGACTGTTAGGTAATGTCTACCGCACAAACACTTACCATAGAGATTTGGCTCCAGGAAAACTAAGAAGTTGAAAAAAAAAAAAAAAAAAAAGAAAAAGAAACAAATATTTTGCGAGTGTAGAAACATTCCCAAATCCCAAGCCCTGTCTGTGGCTTCTGGAATAAAGGGGACGTGAGTGATGTTGAAGGCAGAGGTGGTGGAATTCAGATCCACCAAAGGGTCTCTGAAGGGTTCCGACTACTGAGGGGAGTCTGAACGGCCCAGTCGGTAAAGGGCCTGATGAGTGCGATCTCTAGCCCCCGTGTAAAAAGCCAAGCAGGGCAGTGTGCTGTGCGTCTATGATTTCTGCAGGGGGACCGCTGAGGCTGACTGCTCAGTCACCCTAGCCAATCAGTGACATCCAGATTCAATGAAAACCCGTATTATAAGGAAGGTGGGTAGTGATCGAGCAAGATTTTCTACCTTGACTTCTGACCTTCATAAGCACAAGGAAACGTGTACACATCCATGTGCCCCCTCCCCAACACAAAAATACAAAAACAAACTCACAAAAATAGAAACGAGCAAGTCTAAGCCTAAGATTTTTGGGTTTTTTGTCTTGTTTTTTTTTGTTTGTTTGTTTGTTTTAAGATTTCCCGTGCTCCAAAGCAGGATCATTAGCATTCTGCAACTCAGAAAACTAAGGCTCTGAGGCAGGAGACTGCCACTGACATAGCAGCCCCTCAAAAACTTCTAATATGGTACCATTTGACTATTAATTATAAGCAAAACAAAGAGAGTCTGGGTTCCATAGCACTGCGTCTACACAGGCAAAACATATTTTCATTTCCACTTCAAAGCAAAACAGCAAAGCCTTATTCCAGCAACATTCTCAAAACCCAAAAAGGTTTGCCTGTCAAGTGAGGAATAGGCTAAATAAAAGTGCCTTCTATTTCCTGAGCAGGCTTTATAATCTGTTACCATATACTGTTTCCCGAGCAACGGTGACTGTCTCTATCTTCTTCCGTATGCAGGCTTGAGTTACCACGACCATTCTGTTTTTCACAAGCAGATGACATGAGGGTAATGAACAAGTAAATAGTTAAACAGAGTTGCCGTACATTGAGAATCACTGCTCAGGGGCTCTGAAGTAAAATACATCTGTGGAGACATTGCTGAGCAGGCAATCACTGCAGTCTCTGGCACAGGCAAGGTTACAGGAGAGCTTGTGTTTTGTTCCACGGAGAGGTGGGTCCCCACCACACAGACCAGAGCTGCTTCTTCGTGTAGGATGAGGGGTGAGCCATGAGGTTCCAAGGGTAATTCGTAAAACTGTGTGTAGATATAGTTCACCGGGCGGAGGAGCTCAGATGGTACCGAGACCCGCAGAATGGTGAAAAACTGCTACTCACTGCTTCAGAATATAGCTGTAATGGTTTGGCTTCCAGTGAGGATTTGTTGTTTTTTTTTTTTTTTTATTCTGATGCTAAAACAAAAGTTCCACTCTACACCAAGGGATATATGTCTACAACCCTCACACTCAATGGAAGCTCTAAACGTCTTTCTCCAAGAGAGCTTACAGCTTTCGCCCATGTTTCCCAGAGACAGGGTTGGGCAGAAAGCCCATGTGTGCGGTGCTAGTCTTCCCTGTTTTGAGTCCCTTCTTTGGAGGATACATTAACTTCCTCTAGAACACAAACAGCTCCTGTGCCAGGAGAGCAGCAGAGAGAGTTCTTTGAGGCATAATTGTAGAGATACAGGAAGCAACTACCAGGCATCCAGAGAATGGCAGGTAGCCAGATTTGTAAGTTAAAGAACCCCCTCCGGAGACTGGCCCATACCTGCCCAGAATAAAAGATCTGATTCACAGGAGGGAGTGTGGTTCAGAAGGGGGACAACTTCCCAGGCCTCAGTCCTCTTAATCCTGCAGTCCCTACTTCTGCAAAGCTGGTGAGGGCCCTC